GTCTCGCTTTCGAGTCGAACGCTTGCGGGTTTGCATCCGGTTGACGCGGAATTGTTGCTTCGTTCCCTGTAAGAGCTTCAACTCTAATTTCCGAAATTCTTCCGAATTTACGGCCCAGCGGGCAAGTAGATCAAGTACATCAAGTATACGACGTAGTATGGATTTGGTCTATCTGCCCTCTCTGAACATATTACCCATCCGACAAACTTCAAAACGTTCCCTTGTGAGAGTATTTCTTTTAATTCAGATCTCATTGAGACCCTTCGCGTTTAGTGTAACTGGGGAGCAATTGTGGCAGGCTTAACATCATTTGAAATTAATTATTCAGTGTATAAATTATTTGTTTATGCACCAAACGCCGTACAATTCGTTTGTCCATGAATAAATAATTAAATTATTTATTGTATATGTTCCATATACTTCAGTGAGAGTATTTCGATTAGGAGCTGCAAAAGAGGCTTTCACTAGGTTGACCCAGCTCTACTGCCAGATTTTCAAATCTCGAATCTATTTTACGATGTTGCGGTTCTTGGAAACTCCTTCCTGGGACATCTTGTTCCTTTTCTTCCAAGTTTTGGAACGTAAAAATGCGTTGATATCTTCGCAACCAGTCGGAACTGTTCCAAGAGGGACGAAATGACACCCATCCCCTTCCCCGACAGATTGCAACGATATCATCTACGAAACGTGAACAATTTCAGGTTTGCATCGATATTTTGAATGAGAAATGGAAACCAACAATGACCGTTCGAACGGTAATGATGGCGCTGATGTCCCTTATGTACAGCTGCAATCCAGGTTATTCTTAATTTTGTTTTTGATGAATACAACCTAGTGATAATGTTTTTATGAAAACTTTTCTTCCCTATAGCCTTGGCACATACTCGGTAAAACTTCTAGAAAATCCAGAGTTCTGTAGCTAGCAGAAGATATTCTACGTTGGGATCATTAGAGTTGTTGAGCTCAGACTAGTCAACGTGAAGGAGCCACAATGGTTTATAATCACGTTTCCCGTCTTCCGGTTTCCTCTCTAGGGCCGTCTTGTCGCTGCTATACCCGGATTTTCTTCGGACGCTCAACACTCAATATGCAAAAATCCCTGTTTTTCTGTTATTTCTAGAGCAAGGGTGGAGGTGGTGATGCTGTTGTAGCCCAGCGCACTGCACCACACGGGTCAGATCACGAATCGGCTCCCGTCTGGGTCAACCAAGCCTTCCGTACCTCCGGCCGATCATTTCGCATCAGTTCGTCTGGAAGAATAGAATCTCGGGCTGGTACATCAATTAACCTCGCAAGTCTTGCACTGGCTGTACGCATGCCAATATGATTCTGAATAGGAGTAGAATGCGTTCCGCATCCCAGAAAGTGGCTGATCAACGGCAAACCCTACCTTTCGGCCCTTATTCCTGTATTAGGTTGCATTGATTGTTTCGGTTGTGCTAAAATCGCTTCATCGTTTCAGATGAAGCTTTGGTAGCTTCCATCGCCAAGCAGTATCGTGAGAACCGTGCCGACTTTGACAAAATAGCACGTATATGGACGCATCGTTATGCTACGTGAGCTCCGAGCTGCATTCGTCAACAAAATGTAATTGCATCATCTATGTAAATTATAAATATTTACGTTGAATAATCACTGAGAGTATTATTACTTATCACGGGCGGGAATGGTTTACTAGTGGAAGGGGCCGCATACTACCAGAATTCATCGAGAGTCCCAGATCGAAACGCGCTCAACCCATCACTCTTATTTCGTTTCCTCCATGGCAAGTGAACAGCCATCGTCCATGGGCGGGGACGGATGATATAGTACACGTTAACTCGCTCATGGCTGCACCTCGGGAGCAAATCGCCTTCAAATGCCATTAGGACTGAGCAGAAATATTAGGTTGGGTCGAAAGTCCTGGTGCGAAAGAGACTACAAACGAACGAAACTCCAGTGGATGAAGGGGTGCTTCGCGCAGTGAAAATGTGCTATGGCGCCAAACCCGTTCTCAGCCAGTCGCTGACGCGGCTATGCGGCAGTAATTGGTTGAAAATCGTCCATCAGTTATTAGTGCAATACTGTCACGTATAAACGTTCGATAGAGGAAGTGAAGCCTATAGATTAGATTATATAGAACCAGTTTGGCTGACACACACTACTGCGCACGTGGTCAAACCTGTTGTACTGGCCTCTGACAGGGTTTCTGTGCTGACCACTAACACTTGGCCTAATGTCTACGTCTTGAAATACGGCCCATTCCATCATATTTCTCCTTTCAGTGGACATTTGCTTATGTCTATTGCTGATCACACTTATGAAAAATAACAACCACCATTCGCTGGAAATGGAACGGCCAAGCAGCTGAAAGAAATTTGGGGGGGGGGGTAACAATGTCAAAACCTCAGCGGAAGCTCCTTATATCCTAGCCTTGAGCAGCTTTCACGTGTCCGTCTGCTGGGCTGTTATCATTCCTCACTGACAAACATCTTTGAACTTTCACTTTTTGGTGAAACCCAAGAGTTTAACGGTCAAATCACATTCGAATATATCGCTGAGAAATACTAACATCTTTACTCATTAAGTCTTTGCCCATTGATTCTAAAGCTTCCTCTCTGACCAGGATTCCCAGGACATCTGCTTCCTATATCACTGCTTGCAACCAACGTTCTACCGTCGCTGCGACGCGCGTTATGAAGTTGGTGACCCCCTCTTCCAAGACTCTCTACGGTATCTTATCAGCTGTTATCACTTCCTGCCATCCACCAGTGACATTCCCATCCCGCCCCTATCTTGCTTTTTATTGGGTTGTTGCATAAGTTCTTATACACGACTTTTTTGTAAATATCTCTAAAAAACGAACAGCCTGGAGATTAGAGGTTATGCACCATCACCATTCACTACTCGACGCCAGCGCTCAGGACAGCTTGTCGATTCCATCCTCCCCAAACGACGGAGGCTGGGACTTGAAGAAGTCGTCGAGCGCCTTTCTGACTGATCCTTTGTTTCGAACTTTTTTTCCGTCCAGATAGCGCGACAGGTTGGCCTGAACAGCCAGTAGTCAAAGGACCGAGGTCAGGGCTGTAGGGAGGTGGGCGCCATCAGCCATCCGTATTCTCCAGCTCGCGCTGGGTCGCCTTTGCAGTGCTGAGGTCGGCGTTCATGGTGGAAGTAGATTCAGCATTCCTTCGCGAGTACGGTCGACGTGATCTTTCAATTTCCGCAAGCTGGCGGTCATTTATGTGGAAGCGTCATCGCCTGTCCTTCTCCAGCAGCCCCAGTACTCCATGCCTCGTTCTGGACCACCAACAGACAGGCGGAGACCTTTTTGGGGTGAACATCGCGCCTTTGGGGTGGCTTCTGGCTGTTCTCCTTTGTCGACCCACTGCGCTTGCCTTACAGGGTTATCTAGAGGAGCCACTTCTTCATCTCAGTGATCATCGAGTTGAGAAAGTGAAGTGTTTGAGAGTGGGAGGAAGTGAGGTGGTCACCTTCCTCGAGAGGTCATAAGCGCGACAGTTCATGTGGGACCCATCGACCAAGCTTTGCCTACCTTGCCCCAGCTTTTCTAGTCCACGTGCAACCGTCCAAATGATCATAGCTAAGCATGGTCGCCATTCTCTGGTGGTGAGGTACGATCCTCCTCCACGGTGGAACGTAGTACTTCCAAATCCCAACTCCATCGGGCCGACCCGACCTCGGAGCATCTTCGAGAGAAAAGCTCTCCTTCTTTGAATTTGGCGAACCAATTCTTGCACGTCGTTGTAAGAGATGACGTCTCACCGTATGTATCCACAGTTGGGCTTCTTCGATTCCAGCGAATCGTGGTAGCAAAACAGAACGGAGGTACGTTTTGTCCACATGCAAATTTTGCGACATTGTATACTGCAGAATTGCAAGCTCGGTGAGTGATAACTAGTGTAACCGAAAGAGTATAACGTACACGTCACGCACACATGATGACGTAATACCAACATCCATGCGAACGGAATAGGAGAGGATCAAACACGTGTATAAGAACTTATGGACAACCTAGTATAATCAACGTTATACAGTTGCTGTGGCCCGCGCTATGAACTTGGTGACCCTCCCTTTCTAAGTCCTGCTACGGTACCTTATCAGCTCTTATCAATTTGTGCCACCCACCAATAATGTTCCCATCCTGTATCCCATCTTACTTTTTGAAACCAACGGTCCACCGCTGCTGTGACGCGCCTTATGAATTTGGTGACACTCCCCTTCTAATGAGCGCTATCATATCTTATCAGCTATTATCACTTCCTGTCACCCATCAGCAGTGTTCCTGTCTCACCTCCTATATCACTTATCAATTTGAACTTTCTACGGCTGATTTGAAGGAATTTATAATTTTCGGTCAAACACACACAAACATACTGACATCAAAATTTACTTAAAACAAACCTAATATGGAACTCATGGGGTAACCTGGAAAACTTTCTCCATCGAATTGTACACCGAAGCGATTTGCGAGGAGATTAGCTGTTAAGTCAAAGAAGCCTAACTCACCCTAGCCACGTGAAGAAGCGGTTTTGGAAAGGAAAATCTGCATTGCAACGGCTGCAGCAATGGACCGAAGGGCCGCAGGACGGCAAATAAATCGTGGGACATACATCTCCAAAAGCAAAAATTTTCGACGAAATTTAATTTTTAATTCCTTTCTCAACAAAAACCCACACTTCCTTGGGTAACGATTCTAGTGTAACAACACTTCCGTCAGGCAGGTGTTGATTTTTTTTCAACCGCATAAGAGCGGCCGTCTATGCTTTATCTGAGCATATGTCACTATCATAAAGCTAGTTATAGTACGTTCGAAAACATCTCTATTTTCATCATCTGAAAACATCGCCATTTCCAACAGCTCCACATGGAATAGCCGAAATTCAACTGTCTGGAGATGCAGATCACTAACCTGCAGTGCGGTCTCCTTTTGTCTTGGGTACTCACAACAACCTGGCAAACAGTAAGATGCTGTGTGAAGAAATATCTCCACTACACTCGACATATATGGAGACGTTTCTCCTGACTTCAAAAGGAATACCACATGGCTGGGTATATCCTGACCGGATTGGGGAGGCGCATCTTCGGCTAAAAAAGGGGCTGTGAATTTAAGCGTTTGTAGAATCATGGGGAAAAGATTTATACCATTCTCATAGCAGGAATTACAGCGGGTCGATCACCCTTATTCCGAGCATTTCTTCATCGCAATTCTTCCTTCAAATTTCACATTTTTTCCATTTCACTTCGAGCACTTCCACCGACTTTGGCTCATGAATGAACAGCTGTGGAGAAATCGTTCAGCCGAAATTCATCTGTCTTGGAGATGCAGAGCACTAACCTACAGTGCGGTGTCCTTTTGTCTTGGGTACTCACAACAACCTGGCAAACAGTAAGATGCTGTGTGAAGAAATATCTCCACTCCACTTGACATATATGGAGACGTTTCTCCTGACATGAGAAGGAACACCACATGGCTGGGTATATCCTGACCGGACTGTTTCCCAATGTTTCCGCCACTAACACATCACCTGAGGCATAACTACGATGAAGTAGTGGGGAGAATTCTTTGGAGTGCGCAATGTGTGTGCATACCTGAAGCGCTATGCCTCGCCACCTTGGAGCCTGACACAACTTTCAGATGTTATGCTTTGTTCATTCTAATCTAAAGTTGCAGAACATGGAGTCAACTGCGAAACATACCGTCACCGAAATTCAGTATCAAAGCGAAAGTTGTTGGTCGCAAAAGTCGCTTCCCTTCTTCCGGATATTCTAGATCTTATTGGGTCATCCCATTCAAACGTGCCGCTACATATAGAGGAATCGCAGAAAAACAAAGGGGATAGGCAGCGGGCTACATAACGCGATTTGGAATAGTCCCTTAAGCTGTGGTGATCTGTGAGATTTGCGAACTAGCCCCAGAAGAAGTTCTCGGAGAAGATTGAAAAGAAAGGCGCGAGTGGTGAAAATCGGCGCCGCTATTTAAATCAGCGTCACAAGAGATAAGTGCGCGGCTCAAGTTGCCTGCGCGGACCATAGTTGTAATGTAAGGGTGTTCTCGGAAATACACGGTGGGAAGATTTGGTTCAGGAGGCCGTACAAGCGAAAGGAAAATTTGTTGTGTGGATGGTGCATAATATTCTCTGCACAGAGAAGAAAGGGGCGGATGGTTCAGGCACTGGATGAATATTGTTCACAGGCCTGGACAGGGGACGCCATTGGTTGTGATCATTTCCTGAAACATAGACTCACCCTAATTCCATCTTCTAAGTTACGGACGCCCCTCCCCATGTTACGTCTTTCCTACGACTTTCCAACTCTACCTACGCACTTTTATATCTTAAAAATTTCTGTTTTTTTTTAAAAGTTTGCTGTCGAAGCGGGGGCGGGGGGAGGTCGAGTACATACGTACGTCCAAGACGTCAGACGTGTATCAGCATCACTGGCGCTGGTGTAGGCATACTGACAATAAAGTACGAGAGAAGGGCGAGATGAGGAGTAGATCCGCCACACAAGAGCATCATCGATTTATAACAGACGACAGGACTCGACGGAGTGACGAT